TTCGCTTCCAACAAGGCTGCAAGCAACCACTGATTAGTGTTGGAAGTTACTGGAAGAGAAAAGATGAAGATTGTAGAGCAAGATAATGATTGACAAAAGACTTAAAAGATTGCAAATTATATGAATCAGGAAAGCAAGATGAAGGAAATGAATTCCATAGAACTGATGTTCAAGGAAAAAAACTAGACGATCAAGAATTTTTAGAGTACTTAGGAACAGTAACAGAAAAAGGATGAGACTTAATTGAATGACGAGTAACATGAGAATGAATTTTAGTAGATGGCACAAGAGGCGCTAGCTCTTTAGAGCAGTGCCCATTATAGTATTTGTAGAAAAGAGAAAGAAAAGCAACATTACGACGATGTGACAAAGGTTGAAGATTGGCTACAAGAGCAGGTTCAACTATGTTTACAATGCGTTTTTGCACCTTGTCTAAAAGAGAACGGGCATCATTAAAAGATCCGCCCCAGATTTGGCAACAGTATTTCATACAAGGCCGGATTTGAGATTTATAGAGATAGAGAATAGAATGTGTGTAAGAAAGTGACGAGCTCGATAAATAGATGCAACTTTAGCAGATGCTAATTTTGCAACGGATTTGATATAAGGTTTCCAAGAAAGATCAGAAGTAAGAGTTAATCCTAGAAGATGAAGGGTAGACGACTCATCGTGTACATAACTGTTCATAAATATAGAAAGGTTTAAATTATTGCGATAACGATTGGCTGAAAAAAATTGAATCTTATTTGAATTAAAGTTCACCAGCCACTGTGAGCCCCATGCTGTAGCAGAAGTGAGATCCTTTTCAAGCTCAAATGCCCCCTCCAAGCAATCAGAGGAAGTTAACTTCTTATCGTGACAAGAATAAATGGTAGTATCATCAGCAAACAATGCCACCTTATGTGATGTGAGAATATCTGGAAGATCGTTAATGTAAATTAAAAAGAGTATAGGGCCAAGGGTTGAACCTTGAAGAACCCCTGAGGTTAGAGAATAAGAATAAGAGTGCTGTCCATCAAGGACAACTTTTAAACTACGATTGGAAAGGAAGGATTCAATAATCTTAAAGATGTTTCCAAATACACCGTAAGAAGAAAGCTTATGGAGAAGAACAGCATGCCAAACTTTATCAAACGCCTCAGAAATGTCAAGAATGATGGCCTTAACCTCTCCACCTTTATCTAATGCGCGAAAAAACCTATCGGTTATTACTGTTAGCAAATCAGCCGTAGAACGAGAAGATCGAAATCCATATTGATGATCAGAAAGTAAGTTATTAGATTCAAGATGAGAGATTAAGTGTTTGTTTATTAAAGATTCAAAAACCTTGCTTATGATAGGAAGAAGACTAATGAACGGTAGTTAGACAAATTGGATAGCTATCCAGAATTTTTAGAAATAGGGATAACAGATGCTGCTTTCGAGCAGGTTGGAAAACAAGACTTTGATAAGCACTTGTTGAATAATTTTTAAAGGATAGACGACAGCTCCGGAGAACACTTCTGCAAGACTATAACAGGTATGTTGTCCGGGCCGCAAGCTGTAGAAGAGTCTAAGCAGGAAATCACTTTAGATACAGAAGCTGGAGTGATATGAATGTTGAACAATGGTAGAACGCAACTAGTGGAATCAAGAGATGATATTGATAAAAAGTTTTTAGCAAACAATTCAGCTTTGTCTTTAGATGAGGTGACAAAGTCTGAACCATTTGCCCTTATTATTGATACTATTAAAGATTCTCCAGAATCTTTAATAGTATCAATACTCCAGAGCAGTGCTCATTATAGTATTTATAAAAAAGAGAAAGAAAAGCAACATTACGACAATCTGATAATGCTTGGAAGTTGGCTGCAATAGCAGGTCCAACTATGTTTACAATGTATTTTTGAACCTTGTCTAGAAGAGAAACGGCATCATTGGAAGATCCGTCCCAGATGTGGCAACAGTATTCCGTACAAGAACGGATTTAAGATTTATAGAGATAAATAGAATCCACAGTAAGAAAGTGGCAAGCACGATAAAGAGATGCAAACTTAGCAGATGCTAATTTTGCAATGTGTTTGATATATTGTTTAAGTAAGAGTTAATCATAGATGATAAAGGGTATATGACTTATCAAATACATTACCGTTCATAAATATAGGAAGATCTAGATTATTGAGATAACGATATGCTGGAAAAAAAATTTATTTTTATCTTCAAGTTCACTAGCCACTGAGAGGCCCATGCTGTAGCATAAGTAAGATTCTTTTCAAGCTTAAATGCTTCCTCCGAGGAATCAGAGAGTGTTGGTTTCTTATCAAGACAAAAATAAAAAGTAGTATCATTAGCAAACAATGCTACCTTAGGTGTGAGAATTTCATTAATGAGATCATTAATGTACATCAAAAAAGTTTAGGGTCAAGGGTAGAACCTTGCAGAACTCCAGAAGTTACAGGATACAAAGAAGAGTGTTGTCCATCGAAGATAACTTTTATACTACGATTGGTATAGGGGGATTCAATAATCTTAAAGATGTTACCTTATACACCGCAAGAAAAGAATTTATGGAAAAAACCCGCATGCTAAACTTTATCAAAAGCTTTTGAAGTGTTGAGAGTAATAGCCTTAGCCTCTCCACATCTATTTAATGCCTGATAAAAACTGTTAATAATTACCGTTAAGAATTTTTGAAAATAGGGCTAACAGATGAAAAACAAAATTCTGATAAGCACTTGTTAGTTTTGAAAGTATAGACAACAGCTCCACAGTGTCACGAAATGACTTCTAATATGAACCTCGTGACCCAAGAAAATCCTTTTGAGGTATGATAATAGGGATATATAGAATAAGAGTGTATTAGAGTGTATTAGAAGTGATTTTAAAATCTTTTGTAAAATTGATTTGAAGTTTGAGCATTTTTCGAAGTTTTTTTGTGAAGTCAAAGCAAGTGTTTTTGTGAAGTCAAAGCTTATTTAAAGGCAAGAATTCGCTATATTTTGTCATAAAGGTTGCAAATAGAGATATTGTTTACATTTTTACATGAGTTATATGCATTGTTTATGTATTTTAAAAATTTTGGGAACAAAATGTCATGACGAAAACAGGAAAAGTGTATGTTTTCTTTGTTTAAATAAATCCTCTAGACAACTCACTGCTGCCATGATTGCAAGCTGCTACAAAGTCTTCGGCCGACCAAACAACTTTGAAGACCAATGAGTTCTAGTTGGAGTTTGTGGAAAATGTTGCACTATTCTTAGAAGAAAAGAGGCAGGTCATGATGTCCAACTTCTCTCTTTGCCTGATTATCAAACAATTAAAGTTCGGCCAACAACAAGAGAATCAGTTTGTGATTGCTTGATCTGTTGTGTTGGGAAAGCAAGGTTCAAAAGGTTCAAAAGGTTGGATTAAAAATGGATTAACCTGTTTATCGGTTATATCAGGTAAAACGCGATTTGTGAAATCAAGAAATGATATAGATGAGAAGTTCTTAGCAAACAATTCAGCTTTGTCTTTAGATGAGATGACGAGATCTGAATCATACAAGATAGGTAAAATAACAGATTTGCCCTTGTTATAGATACTGTTAAAAATTCTACAGAAGTCACGAGAGCCTAGTTTTTGAGATGAAATACACGATTTCGTGACCTTCGAATAGCGGGCTTTGGCGTTGGACAAAACCTTTTTAGAATTGTTTCAAGCAGTAGTAAACAGATGTCTGTTTTTTGGAGGATTGTTTTGCTGATAGATATGAATGTAATGGTTACAATTGGAAATTTTAGCAGCACAATGTGAGGAAAACCATGGAGAAGAGTGAGGCTTGACTTGGAATCGTCAAGAAGGAATAAAAGATTCTATGCCAGCCTGAAACCAAGAAGTTATGTCAGAAAAAAAAAAGACGAAAGATTTCTACCAAAGGGCCATCACAAAGAAAAAGAAAGATAAATGATTCGGGTTGTCTGGAAAGCGAGTTGTAAAGTTGATTATTTGAGTTAGAGATTGAGAAAGGCAAAAGTTGTGAGCCTTAATACCTGCAGAGTCACTGACACTAGAGCCTAGCCATTCAGTGCGATGAGCATTAAAGTCACCAACAACAACGATTGGCTGATGGATAAAGAGAGAGGGATTGGTCAATTTGATCAGAAACAACATCAAAAAAAATTGCAGTCTTGAGATAAAGGAGAGCGATATAAAACAAAGAGAAAGGCAATAGAGTGAAGTGGTACTAAACGAAAGCAAATAAAAGAATAGTCGGTGGATTCAAACCTAGTTTCTCGACAAATGGGTGAATTCTTACGAATGTAGCCCAGGACGAGCATATTGACATAGCGGCTATTGGAGTCTTTATGAATTAAATGAAAATAACCATCAACACTAAGATTACAACCATCTCTAGCCTTGGTTAACCAAGAGCCCCAATACAGGGAGTGTTTTAATTTATGAGTTGGCTTCTCCTAGCCTTTGTCTAAAAAAGCGTATCCTACAAGGCAGATGGACATGAAACAGATTGTATTGGGTTACATATTACCAGTAGCAGGATAACCTGACATGACAGTAAAATTATAAGACATTTATAAAACATATCATTTATTTGATATTATATAAAAATAATTCAGAAATTTAAAAATAATTGTAGGTAATATAAAGGTTTTGAGAAAACCTGTATTGTCAACACCCTTGTCAAGCACTTAAAAAAAGACGAATTAAAAAAAAATTTAAATAACTTTTTTTTTTATTAAGTAATGCTAACTTATTTCAGTAAAAAAATATCAAAACTTTCAAAAATGTACGTTAAATCTCGTTTCCGCTTTGTGACACATAATGCGCCGTCTTAGGACATTATTGTTTAAAGACTCCAAGTTTCTCATTATTTTCTCATAACATGGAATCGATCATCCGGTTCTGACTAGGGAGGAGAGAAGGGGGAATATATAAAGAGAAAAATTAATAAAATTCAACTTGTTTAAATATTTCTTACAATACCGCATAATTTAAATCATAATATTAATTTTTTTTTTTAGATGATTTTACAAGAAAAAATTGAGTCGTTGCGTGAAGAAGCCGATGAAATAGCTGCGTTGCCTTTAATATGAAACCGAAAATTTAAGTTAAAAAAGAAAATTTTTAGTATATGTTAGATTGCTAAACTTATTTATATGTTTTATTTAACGTAACAGTTTATATAATCGGAGAATGTAAAGTGCTTTTAAATATTATTTATCAATTGTAAAAGGTTTGCAGGTTCTTTTCATCACAACACATTAAAACAATAGATTAGTAATGGTAATTTCATAAAACGATCAAAATAGATTTAACGATAAATAACATCATTTCTTTTTAATGTTTTCAATTTTATTAGAAAAAAGTAACTATAGTAACCCAAAGGTATGAAAAGCCTATTAATTAATCAGTTGAGAAAGTTTGATAGCTAGATGTTTACTCGTGTGTTTTAAATGCATAAATACATTTTTCATATTTTAACATATTAGAACCACAAGTGTTTTCTTTTCTTAATTATTTTTAACTAACCGCAATGGCAATTGAAATGGAAAAATGGGTTAACAAAAATAAATATTGGTTCGCACTAGTAACGTCACTAAATTATGGTGGTATCGATGTTTGTTTACGAATTTTACACGACGATTCGTTATCTACTAGTTTACCGCGCGATCCAAGTTTACTTTTTAAGAGTTTAAGGAAGCACAAGGGATTTTTTTATAACTTGTTAAAACACGGCGTTGTTTCATTGATCGAGTATAACTTGCTCTATAATTCCGAAGAGGAAGTGGATTCGAGTGTATTTGATTTAGGGCTAATAATTACGCTTTTACAAGGAATCGTTTTGCCTGAACCAATAGATGGTTGGCTGCATCCAAATTCTGAAGATACTTCCGTGTCTGCCTTTCTAGTAAGCTTAAGAAAGTTTAAGGATAAAATAAATGAAATGAAAGTAACAAAACTTATGAGTGAACTTGAGTTTCATGATTTATGGGACGAGTTGAATGAAATTTTACATGCTTTTTACTTTGATACTGCTATTCTGAATGATATTTTTTTGACGACCACAAGGGAAACATTTTATTTCACTCCACCTTTTGACGTAAAATTTGCGTCTGCGTTTAATAGATCAAAGCATTTTTATTTGGTTAAAGTTATTAATGAAGTGAGAGAATTATTCGATCGCCACACTGAAAATGTTACTACTGTGATGAGCGTTGTACAGAATTCTAAAATAACGAAGATTTATAGCGAGTTATCAAGGTTAAAAAAAGGCATTGCAAACATGTATCGCTTGCATGAAGATTTTATGTACTTTCAATATAAAGATGCATCCCCATTGTTAACAGTTTGCGAACAACTGAATTTATCAATAGGATTAAATGATGATTCTCTGGATAGGATTATTGCCGAATATAATTTTAACTTAGAATCAAGTAAAATGTTAAACAAAAAACAAATAGTTGACCAAAAAAATCAGATGCAACCAAATTCTAAACCAAAACATTTTAGTAAGAAGCGATTCTTTAATTATTTATTTGCTATTTTTTGCTTGTACTTACACCCCTTTCTCTTTCCATTCCTTCTTTCCTCTAATAATGTTTTTAAAACTTATCCTTAATAAATGAATTTAACACTATAACTACGTTATTAACTAAAAATTATAATAATTTTATCTTGGATTAAAAAAGACTCCGTTTATTATTTAAAAGAAATGACGTAGTTATAGTTTACAAAAAAAAGGTCTTCCGGAGGAGAGAAAGCTATATATTCTTTAGAGGATTTGCTAATACATCATGATAAAAACATTAGTTAAGTTGGTAAATTAAAAGCCTATTTAAGCTTTTTTTTAAAGCTAGACATTTTTAGTTTTCTATTTTAGCTATATTGTATGAAAGCTCTTATTAAAATTTTTTATCGCCGCACTTGATGATGGGAGCATAGACAAATTTTTTTTTTTAATTAAAATTTATATAAGAAAAGTGCCCTCTTATAAAATGATAAAAAAAATCCCGTGTAAAGCCACGTGACAAAAAATCTGGCAAATAAAACCCACCGTACTATTATACATTTTTCGCCACCGCACTATTATACATTTATAACTATTATAATGTATTTTAACCTAAAAATGGTTACGTGATTTTTAAAAATATTTTTGGGATGGCTTTAAACACAATAAAATATACAACCTGTATCCGACCTATTTTAAGTACTTACTTATGTAAAGTACTGTGTTTTTTCAAATTATATAGAACTTATCTATTAAAAAAAGTTCAGGTCAAGCAATTTTTGCATAAACCAAAAATTTTGGCTTATATTCCACAGAATAAGTCAACGTAAATTAACAAGTTTATAGAGTTTTAATGAATATTGCAATAGGTTTCTTATAGTACGACGCAAATACATTTAGTACAAAAAACTCAATTCTTGAGACCAATATTTTTTTAAAAACAAACGTTTACATCGTTAAAATAAGTTGCTTTTTTTTTATTTATTAATTTTTTAGCATTACAAAAAACTGCAGCCATGAGCTGGTTTAGAAGGAACACTTTGATGAATCCCCCAACACAAGAAAATCTAGCTTCTGCATTTCAAACTGAAAGTAATGACGAAAAATCATCTCTAGACCTGTCTTTATTTAATCAAGTCAATGAACTTTACAACCATGAAAAAAATTCTTCAAAAAGTCCATCAAAAGAGAGTCTAGCTGATATTTTTAGAGTTGAAACTAATACAAAAGCATCTACAGCTAAATCTACACATAACACAGTCAAAGAAAAAAATTTAAACGACCATGAAAACTACAAATATAATTTGAATGATTCATCAAAAGAAAACACTGCTGTTAAGACAAATTCAAGTTACTCCCCAGAATCAGCATCAGATAGCGATAACAGAAAAAAATCGATTAACGATGATAAATATAAAAATACTCCAGAAAAAGAACTAAACAGCACTTTTAAAGTTGAAATAAATAACCTAAAATCTTATCCTGACAAATCTAATAACTATGATGCAAATAAGATACATTTAAACAATGTAAACACAAGCACAAATATTTTATTAAAAATCGAAGAATTAGCTGCAAATTTTAAAAATGGAAACCTAAGAACAAAATCGTTTTCTTCATTCGAAATTAATAGTGACACTAACGAAAATCCTATTATCCAAGATAATTATAGAAATACTGTGAAGACGTCAAATGAGGCTCAACCGCATGCGCTCAAACCGGAATACTTTAAATCAAAATCATTTTCAGGTCTATCCACATTCAATGGTGTAAACGAGAAGAACATTAATATTGACCACAAAACAAATTTAAAGAACTTATTAGCGAATAAAGAGTCAGACGCTTCTCTTCAAACTGAAAGGAATGATGCAAATACATCCCTAGAAGAATCTGTAAACAATCAAGATAGTTATAAAAATATTTCGGATAAAAGACCAAAAGTACCACCAAAAAATAATTTTTACACTTTTAAGTCCGAAGAGGTAACTGCAAAATCATCTCTAAGCAAATCCGAGTTTAATCATTCTAACGAAAGAAATATATATATAGGTAACTACAAAAGTAGTTTAAACAGCTCGTCGACAAACAACGTCGACGACATTTCTTTTCGAGCTGAAAATAGTGATTCAAGTTCATCGTTAGAAAAATCAGCAAACCCAATTAAAAAGTACTTAAACAATCAAAATAGTTATCCGTATGCATCTAAAATACCACCGAAAGTTCCACCAAAGAAGGAAAAACCTGCTTCAGATTTTAATATTGAGGATAATAAAGTGAACTTAAAAAATTTGAACAACCAACATAACAATTATACTACAAAAAGTTTGAAATCGGATGAAAGTTGTTCATTAGAAAAAGATATCAATAAAAATGTTTTAAAAACTCCCACGTTATTTAAAACTAAAACGTTTAGGCGTGATGGAATTCCTCAAAGTATGTTTTACGAAGGTAAATTGAATAACTAAGAAGAAAAATTTAGTTAAAAACAAACTTTAATAAAATGTTTCTAAAATATATTTTATCATTTTTAAAAGTATTTTAAAATTTTTTTTTAAGTTTAAAGTGTATTGTAAAACCAAGTTTATTTTAGCAATTTTTCTGTTTAACGTTTGAATTGTAACCAAAAATTGTAAATTGTATTACTAGACACAAAATAAATGGCCAAAATATGTAATTAACATTCATATAAAATATTTTAGGGAAACACATTACAAGAGACACTAAGATGTTAATTATATTTAATGGGTCCACATAGCAATAAAGTTCCATGAAAATTGTTTGATATTTTTATCCTTCTCCATCAAATTAAAATTGAAAGGTTTTGCTTATAAGAAAAATGACTCAAAATCAAAAAACAAAAATCAAAGACACTAGAGGTTAACAAGAATAAGGGCACTGAATTAACACCGACAAAAAATTCAGTTTGATTTTGTATCTTCCGAGAGTATAAAAACTGCTGAGGAACAAAATGATAAGTGAAGTCGAAATTAAGCAGTAAAAGACGAAGAAAAGCTGTACAACCTACTTTAGTGTATTTAGACAAAAAAAGTGATAAATATAAAGTAAACTTGTGATAAATATAAAATACATAAAAAATATTTGACTATTTTAGTGAAAAATTTGATGGCTGTTTCAAATATTCTGCTCAATTCTTGATTGAAAGTTTTATGTTCGAATTAAATTGCTTCGATACTATTCCTGTTTGGCATGTCTTCTTTACAGCTTGTTCCACCTTTTGTGTGTGACTTTTTAATTTGGGACAGCATGAGGTTTTATAAATAAATCTAATAGTTACATGTGGTTTATGGGATAAGATTAGTTTAGCAAAATGCTCTCTAAATGGCCATAAAAAACGTTTTGTTAAATGCACTATTGTCCAATTTTTTTATAAGTTTTATCTTCCATTAACTCAGATTTTTGCATTCCAATAAAAAAAGTTTTCAGAACGATTAGTTGCAAGCTTTACACTTAACAACTTTACAGTTAACAACTTCTGTTCTTGGACCATCTAATTTAGTAATGATGATTCTTAATTGCAATTTATTTGCATTAGAAGACAAATATTTTATTGCAACGTACGTCTATTTTTTACTTCATTCAAATAATTAATTTGACTTTATGATCCAACATTTGGATAAGGGCTTTCAAATGCCGAAGTTTCAATTTTATCAATGACTTTTTTTTCTTTACAAAATTGGATGAACGCTATAAAAACAGTTTTAGATTTACCACCGGTTGGTGTTACATAAACTAGGTATTTACTATCAGGTAATTAAAAAATTGTGACGTGTTCCTCTGTTTTCTTTCATCTATAAAGTTTCTAACGTACTCTATCTTGCATTAAAGTTATATCTTTTTGAACACTCTAACCTAAGTCACTACATAGTAAAATTGGTACTACATCTTTTTCCTCAAAAATTACATTAACTGCATTTTATATATTTACAAAAAATAATGCTGAAAACACTTTTTAAGTGAAGACATTTGGTAGATAAAATTCCGTCAAGCTCCATAAAATTCTTATAAAATATATGATTCAAATTTTATGGAACTTGATGGACAAATATATGAGGAATCTCATTTGATTCTTAAAAATATGAAAAATATATTTAATAGTATAAGAAATAGTTAAAATGTGGGTATAGAAACAATAACAACGAATGTAAACCTTAGGTTTATGCGTAAAAATGTACTAAAATGAATTTTTGTCATAAAGTTGTGGGATCTGGTGATGAGTCTGTGAGAATTCTGATGTAAATGAGCATTTCGTGCAAATTCTTCACTAAAAACTTCTTGATTCAAAAACCCGCAGATCTTCGAAAATCAATTGTTAACAAATTATTAAATTTTAATGTAACTTGAATATAAAAAAAAATATTTTCCTAAAGATATTTTAAATGTAATGTAAATGGGTTATCAATTTGAACTAGTTTTAATACCAAAAATATATATATATGTTATAACGTAAAAAGTATAGACTGGTTCGATGTATTATCGATTTAGACAGTAAAAAAGAATTTTACAAACAGTATTTAAAATATGTATATAAAATAGTATTTAAAATAAGCATATAAAATAGTATTTTACAAACAAAATTCTCTCTAAGAAAGCGTTCCAAACTGTAAGTATATGTAAATATAAAACAATATTCAAATATAAAAATTAAAAGTTATTTGTTAATTTTGTTTATTCCAATAGAGCTCATTTTGTAATAAGTAATATTGGTCGTGATTATCAACAACATCATCGTAACCAGCAGATATAAAAATTTCTTTTATCATAAAATTATAAATCAGCAGATATATAACTTTATTATAAAAGAAATTTTTGCTGGGTTATGGATGCCAGCATCATCAGCTTGTAAAATATTACAATAATTTTAATTGTAATGTAGTTTATATAAAATCAGCGGTTAAATGGATTCTTTTGATTTTTAAATTTTAAAAATGGCGTCCAAAACATAGTTTTGACATATTGGCCTACATCAAGATTAATTCCACTGTTTCGCGCAGAGCATATGCTGTTTTGTATTTCTAGTGCCTCTCTAATTTTTGTTTCAAACTTTTTATTTTCTACCTTTACCATTCTTGTTTTTTCCCAAATAATATCTTCTTTGCAAAAGGTTTTATGAAATGCTAATGCAGATTGATTAAGTTTGTTTTCATTAATGCTCTTCTGATGTTGATCATCGAATATTTTAACAGCTATATTTAAAGGTTTTCTCCACAGAACTTACTCTATTTGTAGTAAACATCATTTGAAAAACGAAATAAAATTTTTAGGAGGCGTGAACTTCCTATTACATGCTTATCCGCGGTGCTCTGTGATAAGTATACCTATATAAAATATGGTACCTATATAAAATTGCATTATTTGCTCATGTCAACTGTTGTTAACTGTTGATAATTTTTAATTAATGGTGTCAATTGTAGCATTTCCTAGTTTTAGAGTTAGCTGTTGTTAATAAGTCAAACTTTATTATCGAGTTTAGATTCCTTCTTTTATTTTTGACCGATTTAATAAAAGCGACTTTGCTTTCATGTTTTTTTAAAAAAATTCAAAAGGTTGTTCATTCTATTTTACACAAACAAGAAAAATCGGTTTGTGGCGTAATTAAATTACATTATTTTTTTATATGCTAAATATATATATATATATATATATATATATATATATATATATATATATATATATATATATATATATATATATATATATATATATATGTATATATACATATATATTTATATATATATATATTATATATATATATATATATATATATATATATATATATATATATATATATATATATATATCATCACCCAAGAATTGATTTGTTCAACAGACCAATTTACAAATTGTTGGTAAAACGCGATAAAAGTTTAGAATGATATTACTGCTCTCGTGTTTTATTCATATCTAGTTTATGTATTTCAATGTATTATCTTTACTTTAACATTATTATTAGTATGATACTTAATTTTTAGCAATTGCATAATTTCACTATGTTTTTGTTTCCTTCAATATTTGTTATCTTCAATTTCTTTCAACCAACTGTATTTCGTAGATACTCAATTATAAAAACTTTGAAGTGTTCATTGAAAGATGTTCAAAAATTGTTATTTAAAGTGTTTATTAGAAGATGTTTAAAAATTTTAAGAAATTGCACTTTCATTGCACACAATTTTTTTTATTTTCGTAAAAGGAATTTTATGAAAATGATTTATAAAGGTTGCCACTTTTTGATAGTCTGAAAAATCTGGCTAAAGAATGATTTTAATAATATAAAGAATGTCTTTTACTATATTGTGTTGATATTTTCACCACTTTAATTAAATAAATAGTAGAACACATCTGGATATTGAACAAAACGATATTAATAAAATTTTCTTTTTTGAATTTTGAACAAAAAGATCTAAAAATTTTGATAAGCAATGCCGACTTTGTATTTTTTATGGTAAATATTTGACAAGGATATCTTAAAATGAAATTCTGTAACAACAACTCATTTTCAACAAAATGTGGATATTGAACAAACCAACTCTCAGGTAATGAAAACCCTGAGTTTTTGAAAAACTGTCAGTCCTGAAGCAATAATACTTTGTCAGTTTGTTTTATCGTAATGATTCACGATTGCCTGCACGATTATTACGTTTGAAAGTAAAACAGTTTGTAATAAAGATTAAAATATAAAGTTCATAATTTTGTCATCTAGTCACTTGAACAAGGCAAGATGTCTCGATGATTAAGGCAAGATGTCTTATGAAAATTTTAAAAATTACTAACTACTCTAACTAAAGTAAAAGAAAATAAACACGTTTTTTGTTAATTAAGTAATAGAAAATAAACACAATTTTTTTGTTAATTTGTATGAAAAACTATCATGCACTATTCGTCATCTTACCCCGTTTTGCCCTATTATTTACTATGTATGCTGTACTACCGTATATTATATATATACTATACGCTTTAATCTGATATATTTTATTATTATATATACAATATATATTATAATATGGTTACAAATAAACATTTTTTTTATGTCAAATAGATTGTCGCTGTGTGGATTTTAAAGTCTGGTGTCATAACTAAACTGCTGTGGCGCAGTGGTTAGAGTTCTGGCTCAGAACTAAGAGGTTCTAGGTTCGACGCCAGCTTTATCCCAACAAGCGACATTGGTACGGAAGGAGGCGTGAACTTCTTGTTTAATGCTCTCCCGCGGTGCTCTATAATAAGACCTTAAGGACTTTTTGTATTACAGACCTATTTCAAAGATCAAGGTTTATATTGGATTTTTTCTTTTTTTTTTTTTTACTTATTATTTATTTAGGTGCTCTAAGAAATCTATACGATTTAATCAAATAGCACCGCGGAAGAGCATTTAAGTAGGAAGTTAGCGCCTCCTTCTTTACTAATTTCGCTAATTGGGCTAGAGCCGGCATTGAACCTTGAACCTCTTGGTTCAGAGCCAGAACTCTAACTGCGCCACGGCTGCAGTAATCTCCTCCTTTTCTTCTCTAATAATCTTCTCTTGTAGTGTTTCTTTTTATTGTTTTGTAACCTAGTTACAAAAATATGAAAATCCCACCTTAGTTACTTCTAAAAAAAAATTTTTGCGAACTGGAATCCTCTGAAAACCAACTATTAAAAAGAGATTAACTTTTTATAAAT